GTTAATAATAGGTCAGAATTTGGAGGTAATAACTCATATTTGAATCGGTCTTCCATGTAACGTAATTGAATGCAGATTCTACAACCTATGAGTCTTGACTGTGAGGCTAGGCAAGAAACTAAAGAAGTGAAAGATTGACCCAGTCCTATTAATTTTTTTTCTTTTCTTCTCTTCTCCAAAGAAATGCTTCTTTATGTTGTGAGATCCTTGACGAATCTCTGTCTTTTCTTGCAAGTTTTTGAACGTACAATATTATATCTTATTGTATAAACATCAGCTGAAGTATGAAAGCGCGTAAGAAGGTAGAAGATCAACTAATCGTAGGTGTGCTCTTGTATCAATTTATCATAAACTTTAGTTGTTTTTCAGTAACAGACCAGGCTAAGCTATTGAGAATATTAGATTTCTGTCCGATTACCCATACTCTGTCGGATTATTAAGGGTAACAGAATTCGTTACCCATCCAAACCGGATAGTTGAAATTTTGTGGATAGCCGGCCATACAGTATAGGGCTAGTGAGGCTGAGATGATCTCGAAAATCGTCATGGATTTATCTAACGAGCTGCCATCAACGGATTTTGATCAGTTAGTTGGAATTGAAACTCATGTAGCAATATAATTGAAGCACCAGAGAGTCCTTCTGATCCTTGATGGTTTCTGTTGGCTAGAGCTACAAGCATTGGAAAATCTATTTAAGTGTCTTAGATTTGGAAGTAAGGTGGTTGTTACGAATGAAAAGCTAGATACATTGATGACTATTAGTGTCAACCAGATATACAAAGTTGCTTTCCCCTCGAGCGAAGAGGCTCTTCAGATCTTGTCATATTCAGCGTTTGGGCAAAGAACTCCACCAAGAGGTTACTTGAAGCAAGCTGTTGAAGTGGCTAAGCTCGTTGCTCCTTTGCCATTTGGTCTCAAGGTCTTAGGCTCTGCTTTACGTGGGAAGAGCCAAGAGGAGTGGGAAACGGCACCGGCTAAACTTGATACTTGTCTTGCCGACAAGGACGGTCAGAAAGCAATTAGATTTGCATACGATGGTTTATCGGAGAAACACAAAAGTTTATTTGATTCGTTAACCGATCCTAGCTGACATGGCTCTCATCTCTATATCTGGAGAAGGAGTTTTCACTAATAATGTATAAAAGCTTACATGTAGACAGTTAATTTGTGAGAAAATATTTAAAAAACGTTTTCTGCGAAAAATTTGGTGGACACTATAAACGAGTGATGAATGCTTAAAATCTACCCACACTCGTTAAAATCTATTTTAAAGAGAAATAACAATTGAAGATAAAAACCCTTGAGGACTGATGAGGAGTTTAAGAAAGTGGGCTCCACGTTAGGACACGTGTCAGCTAGAGAGTTTCTCGTACGGTGCCAATTTGTTGTGGAGCTTTCACATTTGGCTCGCCAGCAGAAGCAGGTTTCTATATATCTATGCTTTCTACTTCAAATCTATTCTTCTCTGAGTTCAAGGACCAAAAGTTTCTTAGGTCTGTTCATGAAATTCATCAGCAACAAAATCCAGAAAATGTATTTCTCTTTTTATTGAACCCCATTTGCTCGAGTCTTTGATGATTGCCTTCACGTCGGCTTCGGTCGTGACGTGACGTGATGCCGCAAAAGATGAGGCTTGGTCTAATCTCAAAGGAATCTGGCATGTGGAAATCTTCCAATGGAGATGAGTATTTGACTTTACAAGTTTCCCCACTTATAAATATATAAAAAAAATGGTATATGATCTGTTAGATATAGTATTGTCCAAGTTGATTTTCGAGAGAGACAACGAAAAGAAAACATTCTATTCAATCTCTCTCATGG